CGGAAAGGTGCATTCTAATATCGCTAGTTTTAGAATTTCGGAGGATAAACCCGGTCGTTCTGCGTGCTTTGGAGACAATCAGGGGCAGTGTTTCGAATGATTATGATTCTTAAAGTATGATATACCCAGATCCTTGGTATTTCCAGGCGCATTCCGGGATTAAGGCTAGTAAGCCCACAACGTACTTGGTACGTCAAATTTCGTCGTTTCGAGGTTAAAGTTCTCTTTAGCAAAAGAATGCTGGACAGATTCCATCTTCTTACGCTCAGCAGCACGCATGAGGCTAAATAAAAATGAACAGTATTCCAGGCCAGTTACATGTTATAAAGGCGCATTCTAATGTCGCTGGTTTTAAAACATCGGAGCATAAACCTGGTCGTTCTGCGTGCGCTAGAGACTATCATGGCGCAGTGCTCACAAAGATTAAGACTCTTGGAGTACGGTACACCCATATCCTTAATAACCGCAGGCACATTTATGTCGTGACCGTCAATACTTTGTTGAGGTTGGTGTTGGTCACCAACCACCATGACTGAGCATTCATGCCAAAGTAGAGAAAAGAAGCACTGGGAAAAGGCCCAAAGATCGATTTTTAGGAGTTCGAGCGGAATTTCGAGACCTGCCGGCTTATACCTGTATGCAACTTTCAGATCATCGGCATACATGAAGGGCTTACCATTCTGAAATAAGTCTGGTACATCATTGACAAAAAGGCAAAATAAGAGCTGGCCAAGTACACGACCATGAATGACTCCACTCCTCGCGCGTGTGGGGTTAGGGGTAACATTAGAAGTCTTAACGCATTGTGTGCGACCACCTAGGTAAGAGGATATCAAATTCGGAAGTTTACCACCTATTCCGAAAGAGGACAGTTTCAAGAGAAGAAGAAGAAGAAGAAGAAGAAGAAGAAGAAGAAGAAGAACATGGTAAACACGATCAGAAGCCCTCGTGAAATCGAAATAGACTGTGTAAAGTGCAAAACCATTGTCCCTAGATTGGAGAACATGATCAAAGGAAGAGAGCTAGCAGATGTCACAAGACTGAGCTTTGAGGAATCCATGCGAAAGCAGCACTCAGTAGGTTATTTTCTGTTAAGTGACACATCATCTTATCCTTGATCAATGTCTCTATGATTTCCAGAACCGATGGGACGGTGTTTACTGGCCGAAAGTCCTTGAATGACGTGGGTTGGCCGTGCCTGAGGATAGGCAAACTGCGTGATTCCTTCCGCAAAGAAGAATAGGTCTCACTTTCGATAGCGAGAGTAAATATCTTGCATAGGAGGGACGGTAAAATCTCATTTTCATTCGCCTTTAAAAGGCTAACTGGGGCACCATCAGATCCCCGGTTATGAGATTGATTAAAAAGCTGATTTGTAGCGTCCGTTTCGGATGGGTCGGTAGGGGGCGAAGCGATATTGGATGGGGACAGTCTCCTCTTCTTTACAACCTGAGGATTAACTTGAGGATCTGAACATGGGACATCCAACATTCTTCACAGACAGAGTCAAACACATCAGAGTTGGGCGTTAGATGGGGCAAGAGTATAGGCAGGTGCTGAAGATAAAGTTTATTATAACAGAGTATTTAAACGTGTGTAAACTTCAGTAGAAAACGAGTAACAAATTGAACACAGGAGCTAACAAAATAGGCTACGTTGGGAAAATATGTACATACATCAGAGTAAAGGGCTTACCCGGAAAAAGACAGAAGTTGGAAAACAAAATGTAACGATGATCAACGAAAGAACAAACATATAACAAACGAGGGTGAAACTTATCAAGTATGCAGATCACCGGCTTTGGTCGTGCCCATGTGACGAGCTTGGTCCGGGATTCTCTACAAGATGAGTATTCACGTGTTTATTAAAACAAGGTCAGAACCCTACGCTCTATTTGGGCTATTACAGAATGAAGGTTTTATCGTATACGGGACTCTTGAATTGCCCCCCTTAGGCGGTCGTGGCCGCTGGGGAGGCCAGGGCATGTGATGGTGGCGTGCGGTCGGGTCTGAGAGTGGGACGGCTGGTGGCAGCTTCTTCTGCAGGTTTGTAGGGAAGAGGTTCAAGTGTTGTCCAATTGCCGTGTGTTGCATTCGCCGAGGAATGGTGCGTTCAAGTGGGCGCACGTGTGTCCGAGCTGAAGTCGATCAAGTGGCTGCAGATCAGCACGTCTGGGACCCGTGGCTGCGAAGATGGATGACCTTGAAGCAACGGGGCCTTGAACAAGAACCCCAGACGTAGCAATTATGGCCGTCGGCAACGAGAGTACTGCTACTAATAACGTTGCTCTCACGAACTAGCAGCCTAAATCACACGGTCCCTGAGTAAGGACGATAATGGGAAAACCCAGTAGGCGAATGAAGTTGATATTCAGGGACCTCAACAACCTGATCATGAGACACGAAAACTAGGCGGGGCTTGAGATGCAGCGATGTGTTTACTACGATGAAAGGAAAAGGGATGGCAGCGTTGAGGGTCAGTTAGTCCGATACCTGCGTCTTGCGGGACCCGATGTCCAAAGACAGCCTTCCCACTTCATGTCGGCCCGAAGATAGCGGATTTTATCTATTTGGAGTGCCAGGACGGGGTCCGGATAACAAAGTGAGAGGATGCGCCTTTCCAGTCATCTCCAATAACAGACGTCTCGTCAGACAGTACCGCAGGTCTTGGAGAAGTCCAGTTGTTCACGCACCGCGGACTTCATTTACCAACCACAGGGAGGGCATGGGCGACCAACAGCCAAATGGCCGAGCAGTCGTCACGCCAAGAGTAAACAACAGGGACGAAATCACGGCCATTAACGACTCGAGCGCGGACCTACAAACAATCATTGTATCACATACGGTCCCAGCGAAGAACGCGTGCGCTGTTAATTAGTGTAGGCATGTGGGCAGCCGGCAACTGCGTTCTGTAAATACTGCTCTCCTTGTAACCCCTATTACCCCTTTATTGGATGATAAGTTGGAATGCCACGCTTCGGAGCAAAGCCAGCCTAGGAGTGCGCCATTAGGTGCTTTTCGGTCACAAGTTAATGGCGTGCATTAATCTATCCCGATTGTGGGACGTAAATGAGTGTTGGCACTTTTCATCTTAGGGACGAGGTTCAGAGTGTCAGTAGACGATCATGTGGCGACCGACAATTAATACTTGAGGAGCGTTTGCCAACCAGTGTGGCGCATGATATTAGGCAAAGCTAATGGTAAAAGTGTTTTCCATTAGCTTTCAAATCACTGACACTAGGCGAATAAGACGATAGCCCTCCAGCTACGTTGGGGGTAATTCCCAGCCTTCAACATCGCCCAGTCGAGTGGAGTCAATAGGGATCTCGACGTCTCTGCAGTACAGTTATGATAATAGACCCGCGGAGGTGGGTGGGAGTGCGGGGGGTGTCACGTGATGCCCACCCACGACTTGTTGGGGATTGTGCCATCTCCTTGTCAGCGATGATGTCTCCAAAGCTCTGCGGCCTAGGAGTCTTCTTTCTGACAGCTGTTTGTTCCAGCGATCTACAGTAGGTGTGATAACTCATGAAACGTCAACCGAAATTCCGAAATGCGTTTCCTTTTCAAAAAGATTAAGTAAGTGGGGCTGTAAAACTAATCATTGTGTAGCATACTTATGTAATACTTCAGTTACCTCAGGATGCCGGCTTTCGAATGAACTTCTTCTCGGCTGCATGCAAAAACTTTAGTTGGCAAAAAGTCTACTTAAGTAGCATGCATTTTTCTCACTGATTTTAGATGTCCTTATGAGCTCAA